AGGGCTGTGTTTTCATTTCACACTTAGAACCATGATCACTGGGTCACTGACTGATTATAAGGGTATATTTAACTTTGTAAGAAGCAAATGTTCTCTGCCATGCTGCACTCCCTCCAACATTACCCAGTGTGCATACACCCTCCCTTTCCAGCACTTGGGATTTCCAGTGTCAGGTTTCTAAAATTTTAGGCATTCCAGTGGTATGTGGATTGCTCTCATGTTTTGAAAATACTTCGTAGAGAGAAACACTCATTGCTTTAATGACTACTCATTTCTTTAATGGCTTATTAAATAATGCCTACCTATAATGTCTGTTTCTTTGCTTACTGGTTTACTTTCTGTCTCTGTTATGAGAATATACATTTTGAGCCTTCAAAATGCCTTCAGATGCCTTCTGCATTAATTTCATGTGAGTAGATGAAGGGATGAGGAAAGAGATGGGCAGTCTGGAGCAAGACCAGTACATTGGATCAGCCCTGGGTTGGAGCTTAAGGCCTCTTCTTAACATCTGTAATACCATTTCACAGACTTTGGGATTGGACTGGAAAAGTAGGATTTTGGAGTCAGTAGTGGAAGAGCCACTCTTGAAGAAAGGAAGAAAACGAGCAGAAGGTCGTGCAAGAATATGGCGTATTTGGGGATATGAATGAGCCCCGTGCGCTGAGAACAGAGTCTTTGTTCAGGGCTGAGTTGAGGATCATGTGGCGGGGGGAGGGGCGGCGTAGTGGCAGTAATGAAAAAGCGGGTACCACTGACTGCGTTCCAGGAGGTGCTACGATCTCTCCAAGGGTGAATTCATTTAATTTGCCTAAAGTCATGCAGCTGAGAAAAACCCAAGCAGGAGTGCTCCGAAGTGGGAGCCTTTCGCTACAGCAGTGCTCTGCAGGTCATGGAGGGTATCTGTGTTAGCTAGGGAAGTGGGTAAGCTGTTATAACAAGTAGTCCCCCCAAATATAGTGACTTAAACAAGACACAGGGTTGGTTTTTCAGTCCACAGAGACAAAACCCATGGCTGGTAAGGTGGTTTTATCCTTTGGACGCATGGCCCCGAGTTTGGGTCCAAGGTGGTTGTTTCCATTGCCCGCCATCTTCCCATTGAGCGGGAGGGGCCGGGGCCGGGGCCGGGGCTCATACATGCCCCTTTCAGTGGATCACTTGAAGCACACACACCCTGTTGGTCAGAGCTCAGCCCCGTGGCCACAACCCGGTGCACGGGCAGCTGGGCAATGGGTCTCCACTTGGTGGCCATGCTCTGTTCAAACTCAAGGGTTCAGCTACTAAAGGGGAGAGCGGGGCTGTCTCTGCCATCACCTGCAGGCTCTCATTGGGCTGGGGGATGAATTCTGTCCTAGGGCAAGTGGCCTCTGGGTGAGGTGGACTTGGGCTTTGGATCTCTCCGCACGCTTGCTCAGAGGATGAAGCGGGGAGAAGTTGCAGCAAGGAGACCTGCGTAATGGACGTGTCTGGAGTCCTCGCTGCAGGCAGGAGCCAGCGGGTTGGGGCCTCAGGTAGAACATTTGCAGCCACAGGGAGTGAGTGGCTGGGGCTGAGACAGGGCCATTGGTTGTCTTAATCATTTGTTCATTCTGTTAGCACCCAGAGACCCCCAGACTGTTAAAAGCTTCATGCTCTAATACGGGGTCCTGCTGTCTTCTGTATGAAGTCAAAGGGAGCAGACTCTTGGTGTGAAAGATCTTTAATAGAATTAGTGTGCAGAGAGGGAAGAGAAGATATTCCGAATAAGTTTGCCAGTGAAGACCCCCAAGCCACCCATCCCCTTGGGGGCTAATGCCCAGCCTAACAGGGTCAGCCCCAAAGTGTACCACAAGTGAGACACCTCTGGCAGGGGACCAGAAGGGGTAAAGCAAATTTGAGACAAAAGGAGCAAAGGAAAAGTACAAATCAAGATAACGGCTGCCACTCTGTCAAAAATAGCCACGGCACGGGCCTCTCACCCACGCGTCTCCTTGTGTGCCCCCAGCCTCTGGGTGCCAGTCAGAGCCAGAGAAGCAAGAGCCCTTTATGGCCGCTCAGCTCTGCTCCTGGCTCCCAGCAGCTAGTCCAGGGTGGCCCCGTCTAAGGGGTGGGGGTGGAGAACACAGTGCCCCCCAACAGCTCAGCCACTGAGTCTGAGCTCAGGGCTCTGGTGATGGTCCTGACAGGGGGGATTACCTGGTGGCTGAGTTCCGTTCCCAGGCTGCTCACTTGGTGTGACTCCTCGGCGTGCCTGCTCACACCACCTCTGTTGTTTGCTTCTTTTGGCCTTAGGACCCCCGGAGCAAACACAAGTTCAAGATCCACACCTACTCCAGCCCCACGTTTTGTGACCACTGTGGGTCACTGCTGTATGGACTCATCCACCAGGGGATGAAATGCGACAGTAAGTACCTCTGCGCCCAGCCCCTGCCGACGGCCGGGGAGCCTCAGGCAGGGCTGAGTCCTCGGGGCTGGGATCCAGTGTTGCAGCGCATTTTCCCAAGTAATAATCGTGTCGCCTCAACTGCGGTGGCCAGACAGCCACCGCTCAGCTCATGATGCTGCAAGGTGGTGCTCTGGGTCAGGGCTGGGCTTACTTGTGCGTCCGTGGTGGGTTAGCAGTCGGCTTGGGGCTCACCCATGGGTCTGCAGGATGGCGGCTGTCATCTGGGTGATGCGATGACGGGCTGGGCGTCTGTCTTGAGCAGGCTAGCCTGTGCTTGCCCACGGGAGGTTGCATGAATCTGAATGTTTCAAGAACACCAGTCCCAGGCAGTGGAGCAGGTCACATAGCAAGGTTCGAGGGCTGTGTGGGAGGGGACAGTGTCCGCGTGGCCACAGGGAGGCACAGGCAGGTTGGGGCCTTTGCTCAGTCATGCACACAGCTGTTTTCAACATCGACACAGTCCGGTCGCGGCCTCTACGTCGGGAAGACCCGCAGATTTATGAAGGACAGAGCTGGAGTCTACACAGGCTGGGAAAGGGAGCTGGGTTGTGATTCCTCCTTATTTAGCACATAAATACGGTCTGTGGGACAGGAGCGTGAGCATGTTGGAGAACCATGCTGCAGAGGGCCTGGGCCTGCAGAGATGGGGCTTGCTGAGCTGATGCTTCGAGCTGGTGCAGAAGGTGGAGCAGCCTCAAGGCCGGAACTGTCCCTGACACAGGTCCTGAGGCCCGGACACAGAGAGACACTCAAAGGGTGACAGTGATTAAAGGCCTATGAAGGAGTGAGAGGCCGGAGACAGGTGCCGAGGGACAGTCAGACGCCCATGTACCCACATGTAGGGTGCAGTGAGGGGGTGAAAGCTACAATGGGGCTCACTGAGACAGAGACTCGGGAAGGGGGACAGGAGACCAGCAGACTGGATGATTGGCAGTGACAGTGAGAGGCACAGAGAGACAGAGACAGCGAGGCAGAGGCATGCGTGGAGAGACACCGATGAGACGGAGAGAGAGACAGGACAGGAGCCGGGAGCGAGGCCCACTCAGAGCAGCATGGCAGTGAGCAGGGAAGGACATGCAAGAGCAGAGACAGAAGAGCCACACAGCAGTGCGGGACAGTGTGGACAGACAGCAGCAGGCCCAGAGGCGTGGAGACACGGGTGTGCGGGCCAGAGGGAGCAGCGCCCCGGGGCCCCGCCCTCGGCACACACGCGGGTGAGGCCCTGCCTGGAGCGCAGGCGTGGGTGGTGGTGGGGGGGCTGGGGTGAGCGGGGCGCTCAGGGCGCTCAGGGGCTCCCCTAGCCTCTCTCACCTCCCTGCTCTCCCACAACTCGTTTTGTTTTGTAATTGACCTGTTGCTCCCTGGGCCCTGGGTGGCTCAGCAGGGGTCCCTCAGCAGTCCCCACCCAGGGGGACACAGCGTCTCTCCTGGCTTCTCATCCTGGCTTCTCAAACCGGAGCGAGGGCCCCCAGCAGAAGACTGGGCCCCGGGCAGGCCTTCCCGGGGCAGCCTTGGTGCCAAAAGACGGAGAGTTGTCGAGCACCATCGCGACCAGCAGATACGCTGGGAGGACTAGGCGGAGGGAGAACATCTTCACAAGAGACCCCAAAGGGGCAGCTTCTGTGTGCAGACATGTTTCGTTTTCTCTTACCTTGGGTCTGACTTTTTTCTTGCAGCTAGTTATAGTGGCTACTATGGAAATACGGTCAGATCCTTTGAGGGCCCCACGCCCTCTGGCAGCTTACGGACTGCTGTGGAGTGGCCCAAGGTGATGCCCTGTCCAGGGTGGCTCACGGCTGATATGGGTGTGCAGAGACTCAGCTCTGTCACAATTCACACAACCCAGGAGGGTCACGAGTGTGACCCCACCCCTGCTGCCTGTCTCTCATTCTCTCCCCAACTTTCTCCGGAGAACCAAACCTATTAGCTGGCACTATTTAAAAGTCTGGAGATGTCACAGATTGGGATTCTTATCTTGGCAAACTTTGGCAACTCTGGCGGCTGGACTTGCCTCCCGAGGGTTACTGCTGCCAGCAGCATCAAGGCTGGTGACTGGCTGGAGAAGCTTTGGGGATGTGGAGTGTACCCACAGCCTTCCAGGAGGATGGGGAGGTGCAGCAGGGCCTGGCGGAGGAGTTGAGGCCCCCCACCACACTGGTGGGGGCCAGGCAGGGTGAGCTGGCTGGGCCGCCTGGGAGGTCGCAATCTGGAAGGAAGGAGGGGAACAGGTGGCCGCCTGACCCCCCCCCCCCCATCCGCCCTCACAGCCTGCATGATGAACGTCCACAAGCGCTGCGTGATGAATGTCCCCAGCCTCTGCGGCACGGACCACACGGAGCGCCGCGGCCGCATCTACATCCAGGCGCACATCGAGAGGGAAGTTCTCATCGTCGTCGGTAGGTGGCGCCGGGGCTCCTGCGCCGGGGAAGGGCTGGAGGTGGGCGGGGCTGCCACGGGCGGGTTCCGGGCCTCCCGGCTGTAGCCCCCCATTCTCGCCTATCGGGTGGAGCTCCCCCAGGGCACCGTTCAGTCCGACTTCTGCGCGGCTCCCCACCCCGGTCCCTTGACACCCTTCCCCACTCTTTTGCTGAGTCTGTTTCCACCGAAGGACTGCGGAGAAGGAAGACTTGGTCTTTCCTAGTGAGAAAAATAGAGTACTGATGATAAAAGCTAAATTTGGGGAATTTAGTCTTGGAGAGGAGGAGGGATGTGAGGGCGGGGGGGTGCCAGAGTTGTTCCTGGGGTCTCCCATATCTCTGAAACATTTCTTTCTTAAACCTCACGGTGCTGTGGCGGCCTGTTACATTGCTCTCTAACCCTTTACACTCCATAATAGGCCATAATAACGGGAGTATCACCCGTCTTCCTGCTGGACGGGGCAGCGGGCCCAGGGGCCCAGGGAGGAGGGCTGTGCGCCTGTCAGGCAGCGTGCAAGACACACTTGGCTCTAAAAGGCCAAGGTCCAGCAACATGGAAATCCGCTGGAGCACACCCAGATGTCAGGCTACTGCAAAGCCAACGCTGAAGTGGATGACAAAGTGACAAGCTTTTGGGGAGGTTGCTGCAGGTGTTGTAACTGACTGCTGTAAGGAAGTTCTTAGGAAACTTTATAGCTTAGGAAAGCAGCTTAGAAAGCCACGGAAGCGATTGATTTTGCAAAAAGTGGGATGTGCTTGAGGCCCAGAACGGTTTAGCAGCTCTGATGGGCTGATCCCTGTGCTAAGAGGGACTTTACTAGACCATAAAAAAGTGGTAAAATATCCCTGTAAATAGAATCCCTTTTTTTTTTTTTTAACTGCGCTCATGATACTCACGGAACTTTCAGGAAACACTGAGTTGCTCTATCTGCTGGAAGGAAGGCGAGCGGGGACGTTGTCCGGGTGGGATGCTTGGGAACTCCAGGAAGGGTCCACAGTGGCAGGTTCTGGAAAACGCTTTTCCTCACTTGGCTGGAGGGGCAAAAATGAGACCCTGCTGCCCTCTAGCGTCCGTCTCTGGGAACGACACTAGCTGAAATTTGTTAGTGCAGCTGCTGGCTTGTCTTGGAACTCAAAACCTTCTAAGTTATCCCCTTCACTCTTCACAACAACCTCGTGAAATAGCTACTAACCTTGTCTTATGTGAATATGATAGGGCTCAGATGAATTAGCCTCCCAGGAGCGCACACCACGAGTGATATTGATAAAACAGCCAACGTTTACGTTTTCCTGTGGCAATTATGGTGAAGACACATAAAAGCATGGCCTTGATTAAATTTATTTTTAGCCAACTCTAGTGAGTTTAGTAGGATTATCTGTCTACTCCTAGATGGCCTAGACATCTCCCATGCTGTCACCCAATTCCTTGGACAGTACGAGGTTACCTACTCACCCCTCCAGCCTATTCATCCCCTCTGTGATTTAGCTAAGTTTTACCTTGTATGGGCCTTTCTTGGGGAGTTGGTGTCCTGTGTGGTACAATACGCTGTCCCTTCATTTCCAGGTCAGTCTCTTCCCATCACAGGTCCTGTTACAGCTGGATCTCACACTGCTGATCTCAGGCAGCTCTAGAGCATCCTGCAAAGAGGGGGAACAGACGAGCATGGTCTTAGGGTTCAAACAATGGCTGTTCCTGAAGGCTTGAAAGTCACGTGCTGGCAGGCTTGCTGCCTTCCGGAGAGCTCTGGGGGGCGTGAGCCCGGGTCTCCTCTCCCATGGTGGTTACCTGCAAGCGCTGCTGTGTAGTCTCTGCCTCTCTGGTCCATGCGTGTCTGTGTCCTCAGTTCCTGCTCTTATCAGCACTCATTAGGCTCCCCCCGCCCCCCACTGCTGATCTAGTTTGAACTCATCTTAACTTGATTACCTCTGCAAACAACTTCTTTCCAAACAGGGTCATGTTCACAGACAGGACTTGATCATGTATTTTTGGGGGGATGATTCAACCCATAACAAGGAGGAAGGGGCGAGTGGGCTTTGAAGGTTGGGGCAGACTCACGGCGTGCTCATTAAATGGTTAGCAGCGTTTTGCTCGAACTCAGTGCCTCCCCGTTGCTCTGAGAGGGGTCCCTTCTGGAGGGGGTGCCGTCGCTCCCTCGTAGTGAGGGCCCCGGACTCTTGCCTCACTGCCGCTCTGCGAGGCTGAGCCACAAGCCTGGGGTGTCTCCTGCAGAACAGGTGGAGCCGCCGGGCCTCGGGCCGGAGGTCACCGCGCCTCACCATGGCTCCTGCACCAGGCGGGCAGTGTCAGCACTTGGCCTTGGCTTATTGATTGATTGATGATGGCAGGAGCTGATGCTTTGATTGCAGTTCTCCAAAAATAGAGCTGAGATGGAGATTTTTGTTCAAGTGATTTATTGGGGCTGATCACTGGTGGGGAGGAGTGAGGACAGAGCCGTGAACAGCGCAGCCAGAGTGTGGTCTCTGCTGAAGAAGGGCCTCGGGCTGATCCTTGCGGAGGGTTCTGGAAAACGCCTCACCGCACAGAGCCCGGGGGAGGGCTGGTCTGTCGGGGTTCGTCTGCATTATGTGTCCCCCCGCCAAGTGCCTGCATTGCAGCCCTCACCCCCATGTCACGTGTGTGGGGAACGGTGCCTTTGGGACGGAGCCACACGCCGAGACTCGTGGCGGGACTTGTGGCTTCATGCGAAGAGCTGCAGAAAGAGATGGTGCTCTCTGCCAGCCAGGCCACGGCAAGAGGGTGGTGAGAAGGTGGCGCTGAGGCTGGGGGGGAGGGTGGTGGCGAGGATGCCACGCCCAGGAAGGGAGCCGGCAGGCCTGTGGGTTGGACTTGCCCCTGGGGACTGTGAGGAGCAGTGTCTGCTGTCTTAAGCCCCGCTCTGTGGGCCCCGTGAGCGGCTGAGCTGGCAGGACTTTGCCGCGGCTGGGAGTGGCCTTGGCGTGGCTCAGGGTGAAGGCCTGGACCGTGGTGAGCCACTGAGAGCCCACGTGACAGCAGCTGCGCTGGGTGTTGGCCAGGATGGAGAGGGGCATTCCAGGCCTGACTCTGGGAATCCGTCTGTTCTCACAAACATCCTTCCGCGTTCCTGCTGGACTCCAGCTTGACCCCCGCAGCAGACCTGAGAGGAGACCTGGCCCCACTGAAGTCGGCTGGGGGCGTCTGTTGAACCATGTCTCTCTACCCACCATTAGTGGGGATGCATTGGAGTGTGGGTGTGCCCAGAGCTCTGGGGTGTGCTCTGAATGGCACCTGCCCTCCGGGAACCCCACCGTGCTGCAGCTGTTCCTGAAAGGGCCAGAATCCTCTGTGGTCCAGACTTAACATCTGCCATCAGGGGTCTGGCCGTCCAGGGCCAAATGGAATTGGGATCAGTCTTACTCCCTCTAGAAGCCCAGCAGTGGTTCTCACTGTGCCAGGACAGATGGAACCAGCGTGGCGGTCTCGGTGTCTCTTCTCTGCCCCCGCCCTCCCTTGCAGTCCTCCCCAGGCTGCCCCCTCCAAGGGCGTCTGCCACCCTCATCGGTGCCTTCTCCTCTTCCAGGCGTTCACTCTTCTTCTTCCTATAGCTCAGCTCGTTTTCACCACCAGGAAGGTATCTCCTGACCTCCTATTGTAGACATCTGGCTTCCCTGGATTGATGAACTTGGGTTGATGAGGTTTTGTGTCGGGGTTGGTTACTGTCTGCATTTCCCATGGTTCTGGCTCACCACATGTCCCCCAGCTTCTAGTATGAGGGGCATCACTGCACATTTGTGGAACCAGGGAGCATGGGTGTGAGTGAAACTGCCAGGAGAAAGGCGGATAGATACTGAACCAGGTTCAGTATGGTTCCAGGGCAGAGCCGTCTGAAGGCAGGAGCTGAAGTTCACCCACGGTCACACAGACAATCTGAAAGACCAGGTCGAAGCTCAATAGCAGGTATTACTAGGACTGGGACTTTGGAGAAAGAAAGGACACAGAGCAGAGACTTACAAAATCTTAGGAAACCACACAGGCATCATGATGCCCGGTGATGTTACGGGGCAGGCAGCACAGTGGCCAGAGCCCAAGTTTGCGCTTACACCTACAGCCCCCCTCAATCCAGTATTTCCCTGTCAACATAATAACCAGCCCCGTTACTTACACTCCCCTTGACATTACAGCTCCTCACACCTTCACCATCTCTGTATTTATTTCTGTTATTGTTTCTCCTAAAAGTTGGGCCTCTCCCTACAAAAAAGCAAAAGGAGCAATTGTTTTGCTGTGTCTCCGGCCTCGGAGGGTAAACAGCGTCTTACCATCGCTTTGTGTTGTGGGGCCTGCAGCATTCCCCAGCGAGACGAGACTCTGATACTCCAAATTTTGTAGTATTATGTCCTCCCCAAGATCAAAGGAAGAAGAATGCCCAAGAGATATAAATTCTAGACAGGCAGTGGGAGCATTGAAAATTGTATCTACCTAAATTCTAGTTTCTGCAGGAGGCTTTGAAAGTGCTCTTAGGAGAATGGAGACTGATGGAAGGCTCTGGACTTCTCTCGTTACTTAAGGGACTAGTTCAAGGCTGTGAAGGTATTTGTCTTCACGGGGACCCTAATGAGGGGGAGATAGTACAGGAACACCTCTGAGCAGGCTTCACCTGGATGGTCCAGTGTCTTCCTTCTACAACCAATATGGCAGGACAAGACCAGAAGACAGGAGGCTGGCTGAGGGTGCCCTGTACTGGGGGGAGTGGGGCCATTTGGAGTGACGAGCTGTTTCCTGTGTGAGAAATATGTTATGTTCTAGGTGGGAAGGGGAAACAGGCTTGGTAAGCAGACATGTTCGTTCATTCATCATCCATTCATCCATTCATTCATTCATAAGGCCTGAGTGGACCCAGTGATAAATGAGGTCTAATTTCCACCCTCAGGGTTTCACAGCCTGGCTGGGCAGATAGATGTGGCAGTGATGCTGCAGTAGGGGAGGGGTGTGATAGAACTGT